TCCAGCTGATTTTTCTTCACTTACAGATAAAAGTTCTTCTTGGGATCCAGTGTTTTTTCTTATTTATGAGGAGTTTTCTCTCTTCTGCTGATGATACTTACCCCTGGCAGATCCCAAATACAAACTGAAAGAAAAACTTCAACATGCTTTCTCTTCGTGTGCTTCTTCCTTCTTTCTCTAGGTGCAGAGCACTGACCCCCCCTCTCCAATGGACACAAAATAGAACAGTTACTTCTCTTTACCAGAACAGCAGAAATTCCTGTGACCTGACTTAGTTCACTGAAAACGAGGTACAGCATTACTCTCCTTTTAAAAAACTGATAACAAATTGCCCCTAAGTATTCTTGCTGACAGACATACTTAAAATCTGAAGTTTAAAATATTCTTCTTCAGTAGGACCTGCCCAATTAAACACATAATCGTATACAAAGGACTTACTTTATTAAGAGTATTCCTCAGAACTCATTTCTAAAGAGCCTTGCTTCCCTAACAGAATGGTTTTTTTTTTTTTATGTCTAACAAGCTTTACAGTAGTTTCTATGACTAAGCCCAAAAATATAGATTTAAATCATAATTTTACCACGGATTAGCCGTGCCTTCTCATCACATCATCTTCAGAGCTCATGTCCCCACTCCATAACAGAGAGGCTGAAGCACATAATGCCTACCGTCCTTATGAACTCTAGAGTTCTCAGATTCCATGTTGGCAAAATCAGAAAACTTCTAACTGATCTCTCTGCCACTACTCTTCCCTAAATTATCCTTCATGCCATCGCCAATTAATTTTTCCAAACTACAACTATATTCATTTCCTATTGCTGTTACAACAAATCACCTCAAACTCAGAGGCTTAAAACAACACAAACTTCTTATCTTACAGTTCTGGAGGTCAGAAGTCTGAAACAACTTTCATTGCGCTAAAATAAAGATGCCCAGTGGTGCCTGGGTGGCTCAGATGGTTGAGCGTCTGGCCTTTGGCTCAGGTCATGATCTCCAGGTCCTGGGATCAAGTAGAGAGTCTGCTTCTCTCTCCCCCTGCTTGTACTCACTCTCTCTCTCTCTCAAATGAATAAATAAAATCTTTAAAAGAAAAATAAATACAATACAATACAGTAAAGATGTCCACAGGCTGGGTTCACTGAGGAGGTTCTAAGGAAAAACTGTTCCCTTGCTTTTTCCAGTTTCCAGAGGCTGCACTCCCTGGCTCATGGCCCTTTTCTCCTCCTTCAAATCCAGCAGTGCAGCATCTACGAATCTCTCTGACTCATGATTCTCCTCTCTCTAAGGACGCTTGTGATTACACTGGGCTACCTGGATAATTCAGGAGAAGCTCGCATATCAGGACCCTTAACTTAACCAAATCTGTGAAGTCCCTTTTGCCAAGTAAAATAAATAGTCACAGGTTCTGGGGATGAAGTCATGGACACATTTGGGAAACATTATGCTGCCAGACAAGGACATCAGAAGAAAACTAGACTGTATCTTTTTTTTTTTTTAAGATCTTATTTATTTATTTGAGACAGAGAGAGAGTGAGAGAGAGAGAGCACACGCACACAAGAAGGGGAGGGGGGCAGAGGGAGAGCGAGAAGCAGACTCCCTGCCAAGCAGGGAACCCAATGCAGGGCTCAATCCCAGGACCCTGAGATCATGACCTGAGCCGAAGGCAGACGCTTAACCGAATGAGTCACCCAGGTGCCCCTAGACTTACCTTTTATGTATAGACACAAAACTTCTCAACCAGCAAACCAAATCCAGCAACATATGAGAAGGATTATACACTGTGACAAAATAGGATATATCCCAGGAATGCAGGGTTGGTTTAACATTCAAAACCAATCAATCTAATATATTACACTAATGAAAGGAAAGGGGGAAAAAAATCCACATGATCATCTCACAGAAACAGAAAAAACATTCGACAATATCCAATGCTTTTTCACAATAAAAATACTCAAACTAGGAATAGGAAACTTTTTCAACCTGATAAAAGCATCTATGAAAAACTCACAGCTAACAACATCATACCTAATCTTAATGGTGAAAGACTGAATACTTTGCCTTTAAGATCAGAAACAAGGCCAGGATGTCTGCTCTCACCAATTCTACTCAACTCTATGCTGGAAGTTCTACTTGGGACAATTAGGCAAGAAAAATCAAAGGCATTCAGATTAAAAAGCAAGAAAGCTATCTGTATTTTCAAAGGACATGATCTATATACAGAAAAATCTAAGGGGTCCACTAAAAAAATTAACAAACAGGTTCAGCGAAACTATAGGTTATAAGATCAATATACAAAAATCAACTATATCTCTATATACTAGCAATGAACAATCTGAAGTGAAATTAAGAAAACAATATAATTTGCAATAGCATCAAAAATAATTAAAATACTTAGAAATAAATTTCACAAAGGTACAAGGTTTGTACACTGAAAACGATAAATCATTCTTAAAAGAAATTAAAGATGACCTAAAGGAAAGGAAGAGAATTAACAATCCAGAAGTAATTCCTTACATTTATGATACATTTTCAACAAGGGTGCCCAAGAAAATTCAATGTGGAAAGAAAAGTCTTTTCAACAAATGGTGCTGGGACAGCTAGATGTCCACATGTGAAAAAATGAAGTTAGAACCCTCCCTTACAGCATACCAAAAAAATGTACTTTTCACTTCAGTGTAAGGGCTTAAACTATAAACTCCTAGAGGAAAACGGAGAGGTTCATTTTTTGTGATCTTGAGTTAGGCAAAGCCTTCACAGACATGATACCAGAAGTATAAGCAGTAAAACAAATAACAGGCAAACTGGACATCACCAAAATTAAAAACTTTTGTGCTTCAAAGAGTGCCATCAACAAAATGATATGATAACCTTATAATGGGAGAAAGTTGTTGCAAGCCATACATCTGATAAGGGACTTGAATCCAGGATATATAAAGAACACTTAAAGCTAAACAATAAAAAAAAAAACCCAACTTAAAAATAAGCAAGGAATCTGAACAGACATTTCCTCAAAGACACACATATAGCCAAAAGCACCTAAAAAGATGCTCACAATCATTAGCCTTTAGGGAAATTCAAAACAAAACCATGAAGAGTTATCCTTTCACACCCACTAGGATGGCAACAATCCAAAAGTCAGATAACAGCAAGCACTGGCAAGAGTATGGAGAAACCGAGACCCTCAACACTGGTGGTGAGCATGTAAAACGGGGCAGCCACTGAGGAAACAGCATGGCAATTCCTCAAAATGTTAAACAGAGAGTCATCAATGTCAGCAAGCAATTGTACTCTTAAATCCAAACCCAAGAAAAATGAAAACATAAGCCTACCCAAAAAGTGCTGCTCACAGCAGCATTAATAATAATATCCAAAAAGTGGAAACAGGCCAAATGCCCATCAACTGATGAATGGAGAAATAAAACATGGCGCAGCCATACAACGGAGTATTGTCCATCAATAAAAAGGAACACAGTACTGATACTTGCTCTAACATGCACCTTAAGCACTTTCTGCTATGTGAAAGAAGCCAGTCACAAAAGGCCATATGATGTACGATTCCATTTATGTGCAATTTCCAGCATATGTAACTCCATAAAGGCAGAAAGTAGACAAATGGTTGCCAGGGGTTGGGAAAAGACAGGGAATGGTGAGTACTACTAATAGGTATGGCATTTCTTTTCGGGATGATGAAAATCTTCTTAAGTTAGATGATGGTTATGATTACACAACTGTGAATATAATAAAAACCACTGAATCGTAGACTTTAAATGTGTGAGTTTTATGGTGTGTGAATTATATCTCAATAAAAGCTGTTTTTAAAAGTCTAAGGTATCCACTTCATGTGCAAACCCACTGTTGAAGATAGTAAATTTTCTCCAAGTAGTCTGGAAAGAAAATAAATACATAAAATACCTTATAAGAACGCATATATTTTTCTTTATGGGTTACATTTAACATAAAAATCATCTGTGCAGAAGAGTGATCACATGAATGTCCTATGCTAGAAAGGTGTAATAGGACTATCACTAACATGGCATGGTCTAAAATAAATAAATGCATAAAATGAACAGCAGATTTTAAAATAAAACCCATCAAAGGCTCCTCAGTGGTCCCCACATCTTTGTTTGCCTTCATAGCTAACCTTCGATAACCTTTTCAGACTCATCTCTCATTACTCCTCAACACAAATGCAGCTGGGCCAGACTTTCCACTGCCCACCCTCCCACCATGCACTGAATACCACGCTCACTGCCCCTCATCTCTCTCCATCTGCCTTAGGTCTTGACCAAATGCTTCTTCATCTTCAAGGACCTGTCCCATCAAAGACATTTTCCTCTCTCTCTCCAGATCATACCAATCCAATATCCACTGGCCTCTGGAAGCTCTAACTATCCACACCCCTAAAAGGACCCCTCACCACCCTCATGCAGCTAATGCATTCTCACAGTAATTTAAAAAAAAGAGAGAGAGAGAGAGTCACCTACACTTTACCTTTTCCAGCCTTGATTCATTGATTTATCCACTTCATCTGAGAGTTCCCTCACTCTCAGGAGATGATATACCAGCTTCCACCCCGAGTCCTAAAGCAAACAGCACTCTCGCCAATGACAGAGTGCCACCTAGTTGCAACACAGGGTAACTCAACGGCAGTAGGAAGATCCCCACACCACTTTTACAGAAAATGTGCTGATGGTGAAATTAAGCAGCCAGCCTTGGCATCACTCTGCAGGCAGGGCCATGACACTGTTCACAGGTGCCTCTTACCACCTGACCAATTCACCTCACACATCTTACAGCTATTCTTTGTTCTCAGCTCAGGGCCAGGCATGCGTGAGTCATTTAGCATTTACCCAATCAAATTCAACTTCTGAAGTACGCTGCTTGTGTAGATGGTTAAAAATTCCTGTGATAATCACAGGAGAGCATTTCTGAGTTTTCTCATAACAAGCAAAAAGCATAGATGATTATGAAATGACAAGAAATCTCGCGATTTACTCACATATAATGGAGCTTGCTGTGGATTAAGTTTCATGACCCAGGACACTGAAACAGAAAAGGGAGAAATATGTGAGAATAAAATTAAAAGCCATCGCCAAAAAATATAAAAGCCACAAATGCTGTATGTCGAGTACGGACATATGAACACAATCAAAAGTCTGAGATAACTGGACGCCTGGCTTTCCTGAGAGGTTTGGGAAGGCCAGAAGGTCAAGGACTGCAAAACTTCTTGTAGCCCCGATTCAATCTTTTCAACTGGGGAGAGACTTCCTTTTTTTTTTTTTTTTTTAAGATTTTATTTATTTATTTGACAGAGAGAGACACAGGAACACAAGCAGGGGGAGTGGGAGAGGGAGAAGCAGGCTTCCTGCCGAGCAGGGAGCCCAATGTGAGGCTCGATCCCAGAACCCCGGGATCATGACCTGAGCCGAAGGCAGGGGCTTAACGACTGAGCCACCCAGGCGCCCTGGGGAGAGAGACTTTCAGATTGAAAAATAAACACAAAAGGCTCCTCTGTCCTAGGAGAATTTTCAACAACCAACAGGATATTAAATGCAGTTACCAAAGCAAAAACAGTGTATGTTCAGTTATACTTTTACATAATCCCTCAAATTTACAAAGTGCTGCTTAGCCAGAGCCTCCTCCAGCCTCACTGGGGAGTGTGGGGGGAGGGACCGCAGGGGACCAGAGTGCTCTCTTCCCCTCGGAGAAGGGAGGATACAGCTGGGGTCCACCAACTACGCGTTGTCCTCCTCAAAAATAATAGCTGGGTTCCCGACTGTTATCTTCGCTAAATGAATTCTCACAGAAATCTTAGGAAGAACTTAAAGAAGACTCACAGGATTGTCTAATACACTCCTAAATATCAAGAACAGCATGCTCCCAAAGGTTTAACTTGGTGATTTGACCAGGAGCTTCAAGCTAAAATATCATGGTCCTGAATCGTGGACTTCAGGATGGCAAGCCCTTTGCCAAACACCCTGAATTTGAGCATAAGCTGATCCTGGCCTCAGAGGAGTCAGAAAGGCAGACCCAAGGAACTTGATGATAATTTGATCTAAGGAAGTTTCTTACTCATAATAGGTTAAATGGATTAAATTAAGGTGCACAGTAACTAACCAGTAATATAAAAACAGTACAGAAATGTCATTCGCACATGCAAAAAATAGAGGAAATCACATTCTTTGTGTTCTACCAGATTACAAAAACCTCACTAACAGTGAACTGAAATCCCAATAGCACAAACAGCAGCTTATCAACGGCTAAATGTTTAAAGAGCAGTGAACGCCATAGCAACCACGTGTAACCTAAGGAACAGAATACTCCCAGATCTGCCAGTTCGGTCAGGCTGTGTATGTGTATGTCCAAGGTCAAGGCTCACCCAAAAAGCAGTTAACACACACTTAGGGGGAAAAAACCAAAAACCAAAACTGTAATCGGGCTCCTAAACCCAGTCATCTCCAAACCACTTGCCAGCCACTGGCTTTTCAGCGTGTTGTGCCAACAGCCCAGGGGGCTTCCGACAGCCCAGGGGGCTTCCGCCACCCTGACCGACCACCTCCACAACCATGCCTGTTCATTCTCTGGTCCACTCCCCAGACCACTCTGTGGCACTTTTTCCTTCCTGCCTTCATTTAATGATTTTGTACCCTTAGGTGCTAAAGTCACCTGCAAAAATCCACAGTGAAAACCAAGCTTGAGAAATGTAGCAATAACAAACTCTTTTAGTAGAAAAAGAAAGATTTCCAGCCCATCAAATTCAAACAGCAAGCATGGATGGAAAAGACTGAAGCGCTTGAGTACTTTTCTCAATGCATTAAATATCCATTTAATTTAAAATTAAGCTCACTGACGGGGCGCCTGGGTGGCTCAGTTGGTTAAGCGACTGCCTTCGGCTCAGGTCATGATCCTGGAGTCCCTGGATCGAGTCCCGCATCGGGCTCCCTGCTC